CTCCCCTCCCGCGCTAGCCTAAGGGCCACCTTAGCAAAGCGCATCCCAGGCTGCATAGCCGCACTACCCTACCCAACCATACCACACATAAACATGACACTACCCCCGGGGTTTACACAGACGAGCCGGCGAAGCAAGAAGAGCGCCAGAAGAAAGGGCCCTAGCCGGCGGGGCCCAGCCAATACAAAAGGAGGTCCCACAAAGCTCCTACACCGGCCTCATTTGCGGTCGGGGTAGACGACGGATGGGGCCCACCTACGAAGGCTGTCCAGGCCTACACGAGATGAAGCAGGATAAAGAGGGATAATCCCCCTCGATCCCAAATCATTGAGGCCAATTTCTAGCTATGGAATAATGGCAATCTATGTTTTGCGATCAATGGTTTATAAACTGTAATCTGTGGATAATGTAGAAACTTTTTTTTGTTATTACCGACAAGACCGTTGACCACTGACAGACGAGTGACGTTTGCAATTTGAATTTGTTATTAGACGATACATTGTTACATAGTTGTAAATAAAATGAGTTCTACAACAGCAGATTTTTCAGAAATGAGAAAGTCTACAGTTATTGATGAGATATATAACAGAGGTGCGCATACTAGTGTTAAGAAAAAACCTCAAAAATTAATGATTTTAAAACCACTGAACCTTATTAGTATTAAAAAGGAAATTGAAGAAGAGTTAGAACACTATGAACAAGAAATCCTTTCCACTAAAGTTAGTGGTAAAGAAGAGAATCAGGAAGTGCTTACAACAATACAGGAAGAGGATACTGAATTTCAAAAATCTACTTTGATGAAGGATGTTACCAATTACCCAGATTCTCAGTCTTTAAAAATTTTATCCGAGAATAATGATAAATGCTTAATTGAAAAGCCGAAGAATACTTTATGTCTTAATTCAAAGGCCAGTTACATGTCACAAGTAAAAGAAAACATAAATCTTCAAGAGCAGCGAAACGATAGCTTTGACCTGGATTTCTCTGCGTTATCCTTATTAACTCCAGTGAAGCAAAATGATAATAATATAAGCCATACCATGAATGTTATAAAACCAGAACAACCAAGAGAACATTTTCAACATTTCATTACACCAAAGATTAATACTACCCTGTCCAAACATCAGTATAGTTTATCAAAGAAATCATTTTTGAAAACTCCTATTAACATTTTCAACAGTAATTCTGCAAGAAGACTTATTGGTACACCATGTAAACCTGAAAAAATATCTCCAACAGGTCTTGAAAATCAACATGATCTTAAAAGTGAAGATAAGAGAAACAACAGCACTATTTCAAATTACAAAATAGTTACACCATCACATAAAGACACCATGAAAGTCAGTCAAACTGTACTTAATAGTAATAATGAAGATGCTCCATGTTCTAATCCAATGAATTCTTTGAGAGATGAGACATTTAAAAGAATACGAGTAAATGACATAGAGTATATTATATTTAACCTTTTAGGTAAAGGAGGAAGTTCTGAAGTATATCAGTGTTACAATGTGGAAAGGAAGTCACATGTAGCTATAAAATGTGTTGCTTTGGACAATTCTGCTTCAGCGAATGATTTTATAAATGAAGTTAAATTGTTACAACGATTACAAAACTGCAATAAAATAATAAAGATGTACGATTACGAAATATTGGAAACTCAGAAAAAAATGTTAGTGGTATTAGAAAAAGGTGGTAAAGATTTATCTACAATTTTAAAACAGTTAGCTGGGCAAAAGTCACATATACCAATGTATATGCTCTTATTTTATTGGATGGAAATGTTGTACGCAGTTAGACAGATACATTCAAATGGCATTATACATTCAGATTTAAAACCTGCAAATTTTTTGAAAGTAGACGAAGGCCTGAAGTTAATAGATTTTGGTATTGCTTCCTCGGTACAGACTGATATGACCAGCGTTATCAAAACAAAACAGGAAGGTTCTTGCAATTATTTAAGCCCTGAAGCCTTAAATAGTGATAATACAAATTTTGGAAGTACAAACACTGAAAAATATAAAATACATTACAAGTCAGATGTGTGGTCTCTAGGCTGCATCTTGTATCAGTTTGTGTACAGGCGGACACCTTTTCAGCATATCACACAACTGTGGCCAAAACTTGCTGCAATAATGAATCCAGAACATGAAATTAATTATCCTCACGTGGACTGGGTTTCCCCAAAAATTATTGGTACTATTAAAAAATGTTTGCAATATAATGTAAAATCAAGGCCTTCAGTTGATGAATTAATTGTAGAGTATGAATCCATTTTGTATAGTATCTAGAACTGTTTAATATTTGTTATTAAAAGACTGATTTTAGCAGTATAAGTATTTTGTTTTTATTGAAAAGTGTAAAATTGTGGGATTGGACGTGTGAGTCATAGTTATAGTTATACATACAACATGTCAGCTGGTAATAGTTAAAGTGGTCATATTTTAATAATGAAGCTCATACCATTTTGTTGGTGCCACATATTGACTTTTTGAACAAAGCAAGAGAAAATTTAACTATAAGTGGCCGAGCGTGAGATCTCGAAAAATATTATTTGGTGGGCAGTTTTGGTGATGCATGTGTTGGGATTTCAGCAACTGTAAGAAATAGAAAAATTGTTAAATAAGTAAAGTTTTGGGTCATTCTGCCACTAACTTAATTATGCTCGCAGACTGTCTTGGTTTTTTCTTAATTTTTGTTTTTGTGTTGTATGGACATTACCTCTAAGAAATAAATATTTAATTATATCTTGTTTGGTTTTATCCAGTGTAAATAAAATATTTGTTTTTAACATTTTTATAAAATCAAAATATCAAATTTAAATAATAATTGTACACCTATATTTATATATCTTATATAGATATTTATAAAATTTTTACTTTTTTTTACTTTTTTTACTCTATTGTTTTACTGGTGTGATATACTATTTTTTGTCATAAAAAAGAATTACCTAAAGTACAATTAAAAATTTATTTATTTTTTAATACCTACTACCTGTATAGCTGTTAAAATAAAAGTATTGTTTGCAATATACCTATAGTAATTACATTTTATCTATTTTTTGTTAGTTGACTGAATTATTTAATATTTTCATAATATTTAAAATTAATTTGTATTTTTATTATTTTAAAACCTTTGTACCTATGCATGCAATAGTAAAATCTTTAATGAAATTACTTTAATCTTTTTAAAGCTAGTAATTCAACCTAGATAACTTTCATGTAAGGTAAAATAGTAAAAAGTCTTAAACGTTGATGGAACCGACTTGTAAGTGCAGTTTTTTATTTTGGAAGAAAGAATAAAGTGCGGCAAGTATCCTTTGAATATGTTTATTATTTTAGGAATTGTATTTGTAGGCATATTATTTATATTTTATTTATATGTGTTTGTATACAAGTATATACAGTTGACCATTCAAAGTAGATGTAATAAATATTGTATTTTAAAAATTTGTCTACATTCTTGAAATTTTAATGCTTTTTGAACACAAAAATTTAGTCATTTTTTAAAATAAAATATGGTGTCAAAACAGTGCATATTCTCATAGTATTTCAACACATATTGGTACATCCCACCCAGTTCCTGGTATTTTACTGGACTATTTCAGTTAAAATAGTCGAGTATTCACTAGTACTAAATTTTATAAATCTCAAATTTTTTTTTCACACACCTGTGTCTAAAAATTGTGGTGTTAAAACTTTCTCAACTTTATTTAATGTAACTGATATGAGCAGGCATACAGTACCTATGTCCACGGTTAAAATGGAAAAGAGGGAAAATATTTTTATTTTTCATTTTACGAGAAAAAGGCATTCTTGATTAAAATTTTAAGTCTTTAAAATGTGGTTGGCACGGAGAACTTTCATCTTGCATGTACAGAGTGATCAGAAAATCGGTAAATATAAAAATCGTTCTAGAATAAACTGCCTTTGTTTTTAACAATACAGAAAAATGTTATTAATGAAAGTTCCTTAGAATTAAAATTTATATTATAATTTCAATTTGTGTATCAATCGGTCTACTTTGATTGAAACGGACAGTAAAACATTTTTATTGTTCATTTTACGAGAAAAAGGCATTCTTGATTAAAATATTTGCTTGTCTTTAAAATGCGGTTGGCATGGAGAATAAAAAAGTTTGACAATGACCGTCATATGAAAAGTGATGGGGCTTTTGAGTAGTGACAGTTATTCTCAATATGCTTACGTTGCAGCAAAAAATTAATTTAATACAATGTTTTGCCAAAATTACTAAATAAAGTTTTTCAAGCCAATTATATGTGAATGATGAGCAAAAGGCAGTTTATTCTTGAACGATCTTTATATTTACCAAGTTCCTGATCACCTTGTACATGCAAGATGAAAGTTCTCCGGAACAACTGCAATGGGCCTATGGTTATCTATAATGATCAAATGAGTAAAAAGCCTTCATTTTAAGAAAGTTCCTTACTCTCATTTTATAGTATGTATTATACAAGGACCTAATTGCTTCAGGTAACATATTAAAGAAGCGCATGCAATAGTAATTAGAACTGATTCTAGTTCTATTTAGTCTAAGAGGAACAGGGTTTATATTGTACCTGTTTCTAGTAGGATAATTATGGTCCATACAATGCTGACGAAATATATGGATATTTTCCTTAATGTATAAGAGACATTCCAAGATGTAGTCACTTGGTAGCGTAAGTATGTTATATTTTTTAAATTGTTGCTTACAGTCTGCTCTATAGGGTAATCCTGCAATAATGCGAATACATTTGTGTTGTAATTTAAAATTTTATCACCATGGCAAGAACGACCCTACATAGCACAGATGTAAGTGAAAAAAACCATAATAGGCTGACAGCAATGTTTTTATCGAAACAGAATTAACAAGGCTTCTGATCAGGAACATCTTTTTCAACAGTTTTTTAGATAACTCATCAATATGCTGCTTCCAAGACATTTGGCAATCAATGTTCACTCCGAAAAATTTAACTTGCGAGGCGCAATGGGTGAACTCATCGTGCACATAAAGCAAAGTAAACAAAATAGACTGAGTTTTGTCTTGATTGAGATACATCTTATTTGCCAAAAACCACTGCTTAACGTTATCCTACGCTGTTTGAACATTCTTATGAAGAACATTGGCCTGACCTGCGCTGTTCGTAGTATCATCCGCAAAGAGTATAAAATTAGAAATGTCTATCACTATTTAGTAGATCGTTTAAGTATATAAATGAGAAACAGTACAGGCCCAAGGACAAATCTCTGTGGGCTTCGTGATTCATGGTCAAGCATGAAGATTTACTTCCAATGAAAGAGACAAATTGGGATCTGTTATTCAGGTATGATTTAATATCGGAGATACTATTTGGGTCAAAGTTATAGCGCGAAAGTTTTTATATTAAGATGTTGTGGCTCACACTTTCAAAAACCTTTTAGTAAGGTAAAGAAAGATAAAGAACCATTAGGAATGTCTATTCTCAAAGCCATTCAGAACTGGAGTGTATTAAGTTGTTTATTGCTAATGAGGTGGACCTTTTATTACGAAAGCATGATCTGATAAATTCACATTCCAGATCTGAGCAGTAAATCCATTACATTCCAAATTTGTGAGAATATTGTCGAGGCATGAATTACCTCTTGTGCAAGCCATAATAGGTTTTGACAGGCTATACGAGTGGCAAAGGTTCAACAACAATAAAGTGTCATTATTATCACAATGATTGAAATTAACATTAAAATCGTCAATAAACAATTTTTTTCTTCTTATTAAGTTTATTTAGAATTAAATTTAGACGATACAAAAAAATATCAAAATTACCCTTTGGAGATCTATATACCCTAATTATTTGTAATCCATTGCATTCAATACCACAGAATTCACAGTGCATTTCAACTAACAGTTTCCTGATACCAGATAAAATTATTGGAGATGGGCGTAACCGGGGGGGGGGGCAAAGTGTTTAGGTTGTGAAATTTTATATCGGTAGGTCGCTGATCTTTAAAATAAAACCAAACAAAACACTGTAGATTTTGAAGTGCGTGTGTTTTTTTTAGAAGCATCCATAGAGTTTGCAGTCCTGGGCCCACCGTAGCAAAATTCCTAGCTGTGCCCATAACGTCTGCTTTTGCTTATCAGTTAAAAGTTTAGGAGACATCACAGAAATTTTTTTCATTTCTAAATCTTTGCCCAAGTACACTTGTTTAAATTAAGCTATTCAGCCATAACGCGTGTACTTAGCTGTCTATCAGATTTTACTAGTTGTCAACAATTTCAATGACTTTTCAATGCCGACCTTCCATCGTCTTTCATATCTTCCTGTCCTAATTAAAACTTTTATCCTGTTTTTACTTGCATTTTTGCTAAATTTAACCAGTAAAGATATTTTCGAATATTTAAACATTTTTGCAGCCAGTGTGTGCAACTGACGTTATAGTTTGATAGTTGATAACTTGATTGTGTTTTTCCTAATTAGTGTAATAGTTCCACAGTACAGCCATTGACATGTCTACCGGCTGAAACATGCCAAAATGACAGAGTATTGAAAATCAATTACCACATAGGTAATTTTTAGTAAAATTAATTGTAAATAATTAATTCAGTCAAAAAGTATTGTCGTCCGACAAATTTCAAGCCGCGTTTTTTCAGTCCGACAGCTGGAAATCGGAATTTTCACGGGGTATGATAAATCGGTTACCACACGTTGGACAAAAATAACACATGATAGAAAAGTGTTTCTTATAAGCAAAAATTGTAATGTCCGACAAAAATATATCCGCAAATTGTCAGTCCGACAAAAAAACATGAAACAAATTTCGTAAAAAATGTGCACATATATTTATAATTTCTAATAAGGTATTTTTACGTAGTAATCAAAATTCCATATAAATATATTTTTTTTTCTCTTTATTCTTGTAACTGTAAATCTCTAAAGCTCAATTTAGCCAAATAAATATCAAGAAAAGAATTAAACGATTTCAATATGTATGGTGTAAAAAAATTATGCACAAAAGTTTTGGGATTTTCTTTTAGAAAAATAGGAAAATTTTTGTAAACTCAATGCAAAATTTTTGTTATACGCTGATGATGTAAAATTGTATAAAAGAGTCGAATGTATACAGGACTATTGAACTTAAAAAAAAAATCTGGAGGTGATTGGGGAATGGTGTACATCAAATGGGCTTCAATTAAACATTAAAAAATGCAATAGTATGTCATTTACTAATAAAAAGACGCCAACTGCATATCACTATTCACTAAATGGCAATCGTATTTCTAGAGTAGATATGTTTTGGGATCTAGGTGTCCTATTTGACACAAAACTATCTTTTTCTCATCACAAATACTGTTATTTCTGAGGCATTAAAATCATTTGGTTTTATTGTACGGTGTACACGTGATTTCTCAAATTGTGATGTAATTAAGATACTTTACACATCATATGTTAGATCTAAATTGGAATATGCAGCAGTTGTTTGGGCTCCGAGCTATGATTGCTACGCTAACAACCTGGAGCGAATACAGCGGAAGTTTTTAAAATATTTGACATATAAAAGCGTTGGTTTTTATCCCGAGCAGGGTTTTCCACATGACGACTTGTTAAGGAGGTTTAACTTTTCTTCATTAAAAAATCGTAGAGAATACTTTATGTTAAACACATTGTATAAGATAATTAACAATCTTATTGATTGTCCTGATATTTTATCAAGATTAAATTTGAATGTACCCAGAACAATTCAAAGGCTTTTTAATGTCTTTTATTTACCTACACCGAGAACGAACGCTTTAAATTTCTCTCTGTTATATTTAATGTGTGATGTATGTAACAGTCAATTAAAATTTCATATTTTTAGCAGTACTCTGTCAGCCATTTCCAGAGCATTGATTCATTGAAAACTCTGGCATTTTCTTTTTTTTTTTCATCATAATCTGTGTTATTCAACTTTTTTATTGCTATTTTCTTGTTTTGTTAACTTATGTAGGATGTATTTGTGCTTTTTCTTGTATTTTCTTGTCATCTTGCTTTGTAATTGGGTTTATACCTGTAAGGCAAGGACTTCTTAAAATAAAATAAAATAAAATAATAATCTAATCTCAGTCTTCATACTTCCAATCTATTTTGATTTTTCTAAAAGTGTATAAAAATAATCAACTGTTCCTTTACTCTACACAGGTTTATTAAGAATTTCAATAGTATTGTCCGAATACTATGTAAGTACATATACAAGGTGGGTCCGGAGAAATGGCAAGTATTGCAGGGGTAGATTCAGGGAGTCATTGCTCCGGAATTACCCTGTATACTCATATTTCTTTTAATTTTCAATTGAATTTAAATAATTTAAATAATTAATTTGAATACTTTGTACCTACTTTACATTTTACATTTTGCATTAAAAATGATATAAAATGAATTATGTTTCCGAAAACAAAAGATTTAAATTGGTATAAAATTATTTAGGTAATTTAACTTACAAAAAATAAACTTTTATAAAAAGTGAAATTGAAAGGGATAGGTAATAATAAAAACAAAAAAATACATCAAGATATTATATTCTTTCAGATGAAATTTATTTTATACAATATATAGTACTAAGAATTGTAACATAAAATACTTGGAAAAATCACAATAATCTTGAAGCATGTCTTACATGGAAAAAACAATGTAAGAGCCTAACATGTTCTCTTTAAATAATAGAATAAACATATTATTAACCCTTTGTACAACCTAAGCTCATTCTGAGTAACATTTATTACTGATACATACAAATAACATAACGTGGACTTAAGTTGCAAAAACAAACTATTTAGAAAAATATTTTTAATACAACAGTTTATAAAAAAAACATTAAATTAATAATAAATATTTACATACATAGTTTACACCAAATTATCCAGACTCTCTTGAGAGTCACTATTCAGTCTTAAATTATTCTCACCCTGTGTTAATTTTTTAGTTTCTTCACACTCAGTTCTCCTTTTAGCAGGCAGTCTTAAACGTAGAGAATACCAAAACTTATCATCTTGTTTGCGTTCCCACATTATAACTCCTATAGAGTGAGTTAGAGAGGCTAATGTCTCGCCTTGGGAATCTTTTATTTCATTCTGATTTTTCGGGAGAGTTTTTAATGAAACACACACTAATTTCGCATCCAGTGACTGAAGTTGTTTTAGAGCTTGTTGCACGTTATTGGTATCCCAATTTCCATTTAAGGCGGCTGGGGAAAGGACAACGATAATTCTGCGGCACTTCTGAATTTCCTCTCGCAAATCAGAATACCCTGAAAAATAAAAATTAAAATATTTAAAACCTATATTTATCTATTAAATATTATTATGATAAAGCAGGGAAAATTAGATGACAATAACATCATTCAAATAAATTAAATAATGTTTTAATGCTTGATAATTGGGAACAATGTTTGGTATTTATTGTAAAAATGTAGGGTGTTTAAATAAGAAGGGGACACGATTTAATGTGATATTCTTGAAATAAAAATAGAGCAACATGCCTTATTCAAATTTTGCTTCTTTTCAATTTAGATTAATTCAATTTTTTTTATTTTTGAGATATTTCACCTGTCAAATTAATAAGTTCATTAGCAATTTTTTTAAAGCAACAGTTTCAAAAATAGTATCCATTTTTGGTCACTTCTTTGTTACACTAGTTCTACCTACTTTATGGTGGAACAAATATGACATAGCTCTTTTTTCTTCATATATCGACTAATATATAGACCAGGGCAGATTTGTTTTGAGGTGGATGTGAGAGGGGGCAAGCAATTTTTTTCTGGATTACCTTCAGTACAACACATAATAAAACTGTATATCCCTAGATCTGGGCGACGTACAGAACATTTTCAAAATTGCAAAAATGTTTAAAAAATTTTTAAAATTACCTATTTTATCTGAGTTTTTTACTTACATCTTGGAACCTATGCATTTTGGAAGAATATTGAAGAGGAAAAAAAGTTTTAGAATTAAATTTTGTTGAAGTTAAAAATGTTTAAATTTATTACCAATGTTGGTAGCAATAATTGATGAAAATAATTTCTTGAAAAAAATTTTGAAAAAAAAATTATTTTACGAAAACTATAGAACCGATTTTAATGAATGTTGTTTTATTATACTCAAAGTTATTTTTAGCAAAATTAGAATGCCCTTGGAGCAATTAAAATATTTTTTTAAATTATCAAAAAAACTTATTATTTTGCCTTTTTTTCACCAATTATTGCTATTTTGCAACATCGGTAATAAATTTCCACATTTTTAACTTACAGTATATTGTGCAAAATTCAATTCTAAAACTTTTTTTCTTCTTCAATGTTCTTCGAAAATGCATAGGTTCCAAGATATAAGTAAAAAATTCAGATATTTTTTAAACCTTTTTGCAATTTTGAAAATGTTCTGGACCTCACCCAGATTTAGGGATTTACACTTTTATCATATGGTAAACCAGAAAAAATTAGCATGCCTCCTCTTACATCCAAGAAGTGGGATATTTTGACAGATCCGCCCTGGTCTAATAATAAAACTTGACATCTAAGATTAAAATAGTAAGTAGGTACACTAATTGAAAGTATAAAAACATACATAAATTTATACTTAGGTAACTAAAGACTGTTTATTATAAAAAATACTTACACATATTTGAATTGGGAGGTAGTTCTCGTGAGGTGCATTTGTAATTATACCGTTTTTCCAAAGTTTCCATCAAAACACCCAGAGCTATATCTGAGTCTTTTGGAGAGTAAACAATAAGAACATCATTAGATTTTCCATCGTTTTCTTCCACAGGAGTAAAATAATCCTTTATATGTACTTGAGCTTTCAGTCCATACCGAAGATACAATATTATTAATGCTAGGCCAGCAAATAATATTGCAGACATAATAAGGATCATTCTTCCGACTGGTACAGGATTGGGATTAATGTACACCTCTTTGTTAACTGGAAATAAAGAGTTGTTAAATATTGTACTGTTGTGTAAAACTATTTGAAATAGATTATAAAAGAATTATTTTACCTGTTTCTTGTACAGAGACCCGTCGTTCTATTGGCGGATTTCCGGGACTGCTTATTACACAAACATAGTCTCCAAAGTCGTCTCTCCTAATTTCTGGTATTATTAAATATATTCCGAAGGTTTGCCCATCCTCCCTGAAAACAATTAAAAAATGTTAGGTTAGTAATCTGTTTGATGATCTAACGAAGGAAAGGAAAAAAAAGGTGCACTCATCATAAGCTTTTTCAATGTTTGTCTTATATTCTTTGTCTTACTTGCTATCGATTATATCTAGATATCAGCTTTAAAAGCTTAGAATGCATAAATTAATGTATCGTGGTTGACTGGTGTTGGTATTTGCCTAAAGCGATGTCATAGGTTTTATAAACAAAATACTAGGTAATATTTCAATGATTCAATGTATGTATCAGTTGTTCGTTTTTTATTGATATTGTTGGATACATTATTTTTTATTGGGTAACTGCAACGACTATAGTACGATCGTATACGATGCAAAGTAGAGCAAAAAATTGTCGGTCTTTTATCAAAGGAAAATCGTGTCATCATTTTTAGGAGGCCTAAGATGAACCGTTTCAAATTTAAAATGAAATTGAATGTAAAATCTGAAATACCGCCGCATACGCACTGTGTTCTGGTACTAGCTGTAGTCGGCCAGGTGCATCGAGTGTACGAAGTGGTCGGTTATACGTCAAATACTAACCTGGCGAGCTTGATCGTAGAGCAGGGAACAATAAACAGTGGCGCGTACAGAGGTGAAATGTAGTACATATGTGGAATTTAAATAACGAATTGGATTTATAATAAATTACGTTTAAAACAAATAGTTTATGAAATAAAGGGATTTTTGTAGGAACAGGGTTCCAGACGTGAACTGATCTCTTCATCGCACCCCATTACGATTCTTTTTTTTATAAGGAGAACGAAGTTTCAAAGCAAAAACCTTGTATAACAGATATACTATAAATATTTACAGAATGAAAACAAAATATAAATCCTATGAAATGATTCTATCAAATGAAAACACTAACAACAATTCTCTACCAATCTCAACAAAATAAGTTATTTTTCTATGAAACATGAAATGTTAACAAATTATAAACAAAATATAAATTCTATGATTTATGTACTGTACGCCAAACTGCATTTTTCTCATTTTCATTTAATATTAATTTCTTCTTTGCACCCCCTTTTTTAGGTTTCTTAACGTCTCCTTCAATTTTCTTCTCTCTTAAAATTTTGAAAACAGATAATTCGCTTACTCCAGTATATCCATAACACATTTCCACCAAACCAGTCTTCAGTTTCATGGGATGATCCTTTTCTAAAGTGTTATAGACATTTAATATTACCGTTTTTTCTCTGTAACTTAATATAGATTTTTTTGTACCTACAGCAGTACATCCGGCTCGCGAACATCCAGGCACCGCCTCCATTTCTCCATATAACGACAACAGAGCAATAATAATACAAAAAACTAGCACAGAAAATATAATAGCATTCACGATTCACAAAAAACAGCCCGAAACACACACACAGCACACAAATAAAACACTAAAAACACTTTTGTTACGGAGCACAAGAAATATGATTTCACTCACATATTCTCAAATAATAGCGCGAAACACACATATAGCCCGAAAGAAATATAATTGCACTTATAACAGTTATAACCTCACAAATATCGCGAGCGAGAAACACGCAGCACCAATACAACCAAAACGAAACTGACCACGCCAGGCCGGCACGCGCGCCGCCGCAAAAAACACAAGACACAAGTCATATGAGGGATAATGAAGGGAGTAATAAATGCATTGTTGTCCTGCCGCCCAATGTGCGAAGGAGATGCCTTTGTTTTTCATTTTGTCCTTCAAAAATATATAACTGTTAATCCATAATGCATAAAGAAATTATTCAATTTCCAAAACCCCCTATAAAATGTGTTGTACTGATTTCCTTGACAGGCAATGATTTATTACTTTGCATCGAATACGATCGTACTATAGATTGCCTATGACTCTATGGAGTCCACAAATTTGGACAAATTTTATGTCAATAATGAGTTCTCCTTGCATTTTGTTTGTTTTCCTTTGATTCCAAATAATTAATTAGTCACTAGTGCTTTTTTTTCAAGAAACGCAGTAAACCGTTCTTGAGCAGAATAGAAAATATGAAATTAAATTTCCAAGAATGAACACATGAGTGTGATAAAGAAACAAAAATCAAAAGAAACACTACTTGGACTTTAATAGCAATGGAAAGATTTTACGACTTTTTTGTTAAAAATATGCTTATTATTATTCTGATTGTTATAAAGCTGTCTTTCAAAAGAAAAAAAAATGTATATGTATATATGATATAATTGAACAGTTTAACACTAACAATTTAAAAAATTCAGGAAATTAAATTAAAACATATTTAATGGTTTACATTCCGATTCGGAATATCATTCCTCATCATACGTACACCACTGGTGAGAAAATTGGAAGATTTTTCATTTCATTGAGTTTACCTATATCACTACAATTGCTTAATTACAAAAAAAAACTCAATTCTGTTTGGTATATTTCATTGACATTTTATTTGGTACAAAAGCATTGTGATTCTAATTACATAAAACGCTTGTGTCAAATTTTCGAAAGAAAACCGCTAAGAATTTGGGATAAAAAATAATCTTAGTAGGCCTTGCATTCATACTTGAACAACGCATTAAATGTCAAATGTATGTATGTGTGTTCAAGTCGGGAGTATTTCACGTCCGTTGCAATAAAATAATAATTTTACACACTGTGTTTAGGTAAATATTCTTATAGATTTTACAATAAATAAAGTAATTATTAAACAACAGTCACTTTAACGAGCTTTTGTATCTGATTGTACGCAATATAAAACGGAAACATTTATTACATATTGGAAAAGGCGCGGCGCACTTTTCTTAGAATTCCAGATTTAGGTAATCTCAACATAGGTTTCCTGAAAATGTTGCGTGTAAATATTACCATGTAATAGATAATAAATTTGTTTTATGTATAGGTAGGTATATCAAATTTCATTTTATCCTACTATTATCGTAATCACATTTACCTTTTGCCAATCAGTTTTTTAACCGTTCGCTATGTATGGCGTAAAGTCAGTAATTATCTATCGACGGTAATTACCCCAATTACTGAGTTAATATTTTGAGAATGTTTAACTTGAATGTAGTCCTGAATTTTTCGAACATTGCAGATATATTGGTATCCATATTTATTTAAATAAAAATCCATAGAAATATTTCATCGTAACCGAATAAGTACATACCTATAAAAAATACCTAAGATGATAAATACAAGAGAAATTTTTCTTCCAAGTGCAGACGTTGAATTTTCAATCCAGTTTTAATAATCACTTTTCATTATTAATAATTAACGCAAACATCTTATCTTTAGTCACGCGATTAATGTTTTATTAATGAGATGGAAAATGAAAGATGTATTTGCGAATAATTTTAAGTGCCTATGTTTTACTTAACCCTCTAAGTAATACAAGGGATGGTTTAATTATATCATCGTAATACATTTACCAATTGTAACCAAATGAATAATTAGTAATTAGCGAGACATAAGTGTCTTATTATTAAAGTTGCACTAAAACGGTTCTTTTCAAAACTTCAAGGATTTTGTTAAATTTTGCTTAATTTAAAATAGAAATTATTACGAGCATAGAAAATTTCATTTTATAATTTTTTAACGCATTTTAAGTAATGTTAGATGCTTCTATACTGAGAAAATGCAGTATTCTCCTTTTTAATATTTCTAATGATTAAAACTAAACAATCAAATTGGATCAATTACTACAAATTAACGTAGTCACTAGCTGACTAGTTTTCGATGGACTTTTATGACATTTATGCATGACGTCACCTTGAGTCATACTGGCTCTCTTTACAGTATAATGGGGCATAACTCATTTCAATCTTTTTTAAACTGACTATTCTGAAATACAGTTGAAATTTTGTACAATACTACACAGGGAGTTTCTGAAATAAGTACGTTCCTTGAAAAGGGTGATAGAGAGCACGAAAATGAGCAACTTTTGTTAAGCAACTGATGATCTAAATGCTTCCGTTTTCGAGAAAATTAATTAAGAATATTAACCATAAATGTAACCCGACCTTGTGCATCTTGTGCACGTGCATGGCCAGAATCCTTCGGACCCGCTACATGCGTGAAGCGCTTCTCTAATTGGCTGACATTCCATGTGTTCTCCACAATCAAGGAAATCCTACGTATAAAATGTTTTCTGATCAAGAACTAGCAGATATGATGTTAACGTACGGAGAATGACAGTTCTCAATTAATTTAAATGAGACTTCTCGTTTGTATGCTGTCCGTAACAGACGATAACCTAGTAGAACAGTGCAAAAGGCAAAGGTTACGGGATACCAGGAACTTCCACCTGACATACGACGGGAAAGACATGTTTCGACAACGAAAACATCATAAACTTCGTTGATGATGATCCGAGGCGCAGACATTGGCCGAGAAGTGGGTGTATCTAACAGTACCATGCCGTGTGTGCTACGGGAACAAATATTACACCCCTATTATGTAGAAAGGATTCAGGCATTAAATAACAATGATTTTAAAATATCTGTTACTACATACTTCCGAACGTTGCGTTTCAAATATAAAATCCGTTGAAATATAAATTCGTTTATATTTGTTACGGTAAACTAAATCGATACTGTAATGCTTCAGTAATTATAACTCTACCACGAATAGCCCTGAGTTTAAACTTTCTTGAGTGATTTTGTTGTATTGAAGAACAATTCAATTGTTTGATTTTTTTAAATTATATTTATTGTTCCGATTGTAATCAGCCAACCTTTGAGTCTTCATAAACGGTCGGATTTATTACGTAAATGTTCAATGAAGCAAATCTTTCATTTTAACTGAATGATCAAAGAGAACATGGATATTATTCTTATTGCCTTGACGGGGGGTGATAGCCTCTGTTAACATTTAATGACTTCAGTTTCAGCTAACAACGAGAAAAAGCCCTGGATTTAATTTGGTTAATTTCTGTTTGTAAACAGTGTGTGATTAAAGATTTTAATTTGACATTCTATGTCTTTGTCTTCGTGAATATGAATGAG